AGTGTGTGTGTGTGTGGGGGGGGGGGGGGCGTTATGTACGGTGTAGCACTAGGTGTCCAAAACCAAAAGCTTTGCCAACGAAACTGCCTCTCTCTTATTAGTGTTTACATACAAACAAAAAAAAATAAATAAATTCACTCTTTGTTTTGGTGTGGTGCGAAGGAAGAACAACGCTGCATCGCATCATCAAAGTGACGACGCTTCACCGTTGAACCAAACACACCGTACCCAGCACTTTCGACTAACGCCGCACTTCCGCTGACGTCACTCTTTGTGTTGTTTGCGTGCTTCAAAAGTATGGTTCCAGTTTTGTTTAGGACAATGTTTTGTTGGAGTTCCAGTTCCCGTCGAATATTCACGTATCGTTGGCAGAGTACATCCAGCTCTCTTTTCCGCAACCGCTCAAACTCAGCCCGGCGCAGCTCCATTTTATTCTTCAACACCATGTGCTCCTGATGATGCTTCTGTCGCAACAATTCCTCTCGACGCTCAAACAACTCTATCTTCGCCTGCATGAACCGCTCAACATCTCTTGCTTCTAATCGATCGGCCTTCAGCTTGGTGCGGTGGGCGCGGGCGTATTGACGTTGCGTCGCGAGGATGTGCTCCACGGCCCTCGTGTCCAGCAGTCCCCGACTACACCTCGGCATATTTGGAGTTAAGTTATTCATCTCTTTGTAAAAGGCCTGCAGCTCCATATTCTGCCGCTCAAGCAGCGTAGTCTCCAACTCCATCTGGTGCTCCTCAAACTCGTCAATACGCGCATTCCACACGCGGTGAAACTCCATAAACTCCTCACGGTGGGCGTCCTCTACAGCCTGACGCTCCTGCCTCTGTTGCTCCGTCAGCCCGCGCACGTGCCGCGTTTCCTCGTCATACCGCAGATGGCGCAAAACCTGCTGAACAAGATCCGCCTCTACGTATCGTGCACGGTCCTGGCACGCCTGGCGGTACTCACGCAATGTATTTGCGAACTCCACAGTGGAAACCTCGTCCTGCTCGCCATTCGCGGCCAGTTCCTCCAGCACCGCGCGCGCCCGCTGCTCCAGCAGAATGAACTTTTCATCCTTCGGTTCAGTGGTATCCGCCCCCTCCGCATCCACGACAGCTTGATTCGAGCGCGACAGCGTCTTCAAACTCATGACAAGTTATTACTGAAATATGTGAAGACGCAACACAAGCAAGGTGCAGCAAAGCTGGGGCCAACGAGCAACAGCAGGGATGCAAAGATAGTTATGAAGCCCAACCAACAAAACGAAGAAACAACAGCAGGAATTGGGGGCCAAACTCAATGAAATCCCGCAAAGCAAACGATCGTAAACCCGTCTGCAACACAACGTCAGGACAACACCTTTTGTTGCTCTTCTTGGCGTATGTGCAAGCAAAGATACAGAGAAGGAAGAGGTACCCGTCGCTGGGCAGAATGCGCCAAAGCAACAGTGAGCATTAACACGTAGCCAAAGACATGGACCGTCGGCAGGCAAGGAAAAAATAAGTACGCACGCAAGGCAAAACAAAAAAAATTCATAGCGACAACAATAATAAACGAAGCAGGCACCCATTGCCCCAGCCCACAGGCCTTGAAAAACGCACAATTAAGGGGCACAGTGGCTACCGCAGTAGCAAACGCCCGCATATACAGAGAGAGGGGAGGGTGAAGGGGAAAAAGTCAACTTTGTGGGGAGCGAAATCTATTGCAGCTCAAATATGTTATCAACGAAAGAAGGCCAGTGCCACCGCAAAGAAATGCGCAGCAGATCCAACACACTACTGATCCCCCACCCGCTTCGCAACCCCAAGTCAAGGGGGCACCCCGGTGGGCCGCTGCAGGTGTCGCTGTCGTGTAGCAGCGAGGCGACCACGACTCCAACCCAAACAGTGGAAACACAGAAATCACGGAAAAAAAAAACACGCGCATTGTGAGTCAGGACGACGCTACACACGCCATCCAAATAATTGGGGTGTAAAGCGCAAAGCAAGAAGTAAAACAAAGCAAATAAATCGAAAAAGAAAACAGGAACAGAACAAAAAAAAAACACACAACAAAAACAACGTGTTCGCTCAACCTCCGTAAAGAAGAAAAAAGAAGCAAAATAAAAAATTACAGAAATCACAAAAAATGTAATAAGCGAAATATATATATATATATTATATATACCTATTAGTTACGTGATATTTATTATTATTCCGCCTGGAAAATAGCGACCACAAGCAAACCCACACACACACACACACACACGCAACGCAAAGTGTTTAGAGTAATGAAGCCACGAGACGCCACAGCGTTTCCGTCACCATAATCCAGCGGCACAAGACGTCACATGAACCCCAGGAGAGCATGAACGACGGACAATAAAAAGGTTCCAAGCAGCCTCACACCTGCACAAATCTCTACATGCAGCGTGCTGCGCGAGATCATATAAAGAAAGCAAAAAGTCAAAAGTCGTTGTCTACACCAACGGCAAAAGAAGAGACTACACACACTTTGAACCAAATAAAATCAAAAAAACAAACAAACATATAAAACTAAAAAAAAAAAAAAGCTACTCGTATCGTGCCTGCTTCACGTTTATTAGCACTTGGTACACAGCTTCCCTCCCTTTGCTGTGGCTGTCCGCAGGCAAGTCTTCCCTCTCAATCTTGCACCCACGCACCTACTAAGACTCAGGAAATGGCTGTGATCCCAAGCATTGGTTCGTAAAAAAACTGAACAACGTAAACAAGAAAAAAAAAAAAAAACAGAGATGCCCAATGAAATGCAAGAAGCATCTTACAAGAGCGATAATGCGTGGTGAAAAAAAAGTCCAACAATGCTGATGAATAGAGGATGCTCATGACGTTACGCCAAGATTCATGTGCCTCATTAATCATTTTGAATTCCTTATTTTCATCATAACTTCCTCTTTGCCCACACTTCCTCCTCTTACTTCACTATGTCCGTCAGACCTTTGCCACTGCTCTTCTTGAATCCCTGCATTAGTCTGGATGCAGGTAAAGGCAGCCATAGTAATATGTTAGACTCTTTCCGTTATTTTCCTCCACAGATTGTCGCATCAGCGACACAGACGCACACACACACTCACACTCACACTCACACTCACAGCGAGGGAAAGAGAACGCGAGGGTAAAAGAGAGATGCGCACGGCAGTCTACATATATGTGTGCGCAATCGATCCTAAAGGAGCACGTAGCTCCCCAGCACGACCACGTGACGCGCAAATTGGAAGGTGCAGTCATGACGGAAAGAAACAAAAACAAACAAAAAGCAGGGGTGATGTGAAACAAACAAAACAAAAACACTGTATAGGGCAGTAAGTAAAGAGAGATGCAAAAAACAAAACAAAAAAAGAGGGTCAAAGGAGATGGGACATCCATGAAATACACGCATAAAACAAGAAGAAAACGAGAGAAGTACAAGGAAAAAACTG